ATTCATCAGTGGAGAAGAAAAATTACATCTGTGTTATGTGTTCCGGACAACATTTATTATATCAGTGTAAGCAGTTTGTAGCACAAACCCCAGAGGAGAGAACTAAGTATGTGCAAGCTAAACATTTGTGCTTCAATTGCTTATCACCAAACCACAGTGTGTATAATTGCTATTCATCTATAAGTTGCCGCCAATGTACCCGACGACATCATACATTACTACATTACCACAGAAATTCTAATCGTGATGAGAAATTAATTGCTAAGGAGTCTTCCAATAATGAGAACACTTTAACAGAAGAGATTAACAAACAACCTGATAGGCAAATTGTAGCTCATTTTACTAATGAGAGTCAACGGAGCAAAGTGTTACTGGCCACAGCTATGATCAGAATTAGATCATCTTCTGGTTATTCACAAATAGTTCGAGCTTTGATTGACCAAGTATCTGAAGCGTCATTTATAACTGAAGCCTCTGCACAGTACCTGAAGCTGAAGCGAGTTTCGGTGAATGGTTTTATTTGTGGAGTAGGAGAGGGTCAAACACAAACAAAGAGTAAGGCATCTTTTGAGATTATGTCTTTATATAACCCTGAATTTTCTATCAAAGTCAATGCTTTTGTGTTGAAAAAATTAACTTCATTTATCCCGGCCAGGGATACACCTCTACCTGATTGGCCAGATATTTCAAATCTACCTTTAGCTGATCCAACCTACAGTACACCTGGACGGATAGATATTATTTTGGGTGCTGAGATATACGGTAAAATTCTACTGGATGGTCTTCTGAAACATTCAGCTTTATCTGGACCAGTTGCACAAAATACGCAATTAGGCTGGATCTTGTCTGGAAAAATAAGAGATGAATTAGTACAAGAAGATCATAATGTAATCAGCATGCATATACATCTAAATGAAGAGCTTTTAAAACAATTTTGGGAGATACAAAGAGAACCTGAAAGTATTAAGAAAAGAAAAACCAAAGAAGAAATAAGATGCGAAGAGATTTACGAAAAAACAACATATAGAAATAGTGAAGGGCGTTACGTCGTCAGATTACCTTTTAAAGGTCCTAATC